ATTTATATCGTCGAGCAACAAAACAATAGAATATATATATATTCTATTGTTGATTAAAAGGTACTCTATTGATGGTCTTACTTGATTGACACTGACTAGAAACATTCAATTATTATTATAATATATATATATATTTTGTCTTTGATATATTTGTACTTATAACATACAACAACAGAAAGGAGGAGATACTACGTCGCTAACAAAATAGGAATATACAAAGATATAAAAAGAAGAAGAAAAAAAACCGTATAGAAAATAATAGACGACGCATATATTTTCTATATTGCCAATCATCCTACATACACGGGTGGATGTTGTATTAGACAGACATCAACAACATGATCATCATTATTATTTATCAACACCCAGGACAGCAACAGCAGTAGTCAACAACTTCTTTTTTTTTTTTACATATATAGGGAAGGACGTTCGTGCTTGTGTATACACATCGATAATTATTAAACGAAACATGAATCTTTCCCTTTTTTATTTCACATTTTCTCTATTTATAATACTGTTAGCAGCTGATCAAACACAAGTAAAAAAAAATTAATTATTATTATTTTTTTCTTTCTTCTATTTGTTTTTTTTTTTATTGTAATATGTTCTAGCTTAATATTGATTCATGTCCAACATCTCGTCGTTTATTATTTTTTGGTAAATTTAATTTTACTCTTGGAGGAAAGAAATCTGCACATATTTCTTCATCCTCAAAATCATCAAAATATTCTCGAACTGATCATAAACATGGCTCTACAATTTTTATTCAACCACAAACTTCAACAGAACTCGGTCAAAAAGTTCGTTCCTATAGTCATTTACTTACACCAAAAGTGGTTAAAAAAGAAGAACAATCAAAATTAAAAAAACCTAAATCTCAAAGAAAAAAACGGCCAATTCATAAACAAATCAAAAAGAAAAATACAACTCAACATGATACTAAAACTCGAGATTTAGTAGCTATTGATGATCAAGAACGTGATCGATGTCGAGCATTACTTCATATTGATCAACCAAATATTTCAATACCACCAAAAGATACTAAAAAACCGAAAAAAATAAAAAAAAATGAAAAAAAATCAAAACCATCTAAAGTAAACAATACTACAATGCAAGCAAAGAAAAAAGTTAGTACTTCAACGAAACCTTTACCTATAAATGATAAACAAAAATCTAAAAAAGTAAAACCTAAAAAGAACAAAATAAAATCTACTTCAAATCAAAAGAAAAAATCTATTAATAAACCGGATGAGACTATACCAGTCACTCCGCCACCACCACCACCACCACCACCACCATCATCGCCTGTCAACAAAGCACCAATAAAAAGTAAAATTACTTCTCCTCCAGCTCCAGTTCCTCCTCCTCCTCCTCCTCCTCCTCCCCCACCTCCATCACCAACATCGCCACCACCTCTTCAACAATCATCAATAAATACAAAATCAAAACGTGAAAAA